AGGACGGCAGCGGGGCGGCTGCCCCCGCGCCTTACCCCGTGCTTGGCCTGCAGCTCGGCCAGCCGCTGCTGCCGCAAGGCCTCCAGCTCCTCGTCCGCCATAGCCGCGGGTCGGTCGCGCAGCCGCAGCACCCACGCCGTAGTGCGCCTGCGCCACCGCGCCAGGCGCTACTAACCCACCGCCGAAGGCGCCGCGGAGCGCGGGGGCGGGGCTTCTCTGCGGCCTGCCCTCCCTTCACGGCGCAGGCGCTTCGCTCTCGAGGCGACCCCCGCCCGCCCGTCCTCGGCCGCGGAGGCGGGCCGGGCCGGGTGAAAATGGCGGTGGTTGTTGGTGCTCCCCGGGGGTGTGGGTGGCTCTGCCCTGGTCCCCAGCTCCCCTCAGGCCGGCTCCATGCAGTAGTTCGTAGTGTTGCCCAAACCTCTGTTCCGTGAGCTCGCCTCTTCCTTGCCCTTTCCATGTCTGCCAGGTTGGCGAGCCCACATGCAGTTTCGTTTCTCCGGCACGGTGATCGTGCTGGAGCGGCCGTGATGCTGTGAAGAGAAAGTGGGGGAAGTTACAGCCCCTTTTTTTGAGAGCTGCTGGCGTAAGGAGCCCAGGTCAGGCTAAGTCAGGCCTGCTTGTTCTCTGGCTCCCGTTCTGTGAGGAGGCAGTGCAGAGTGGTTATGTTATGCCAGGTAAGCTGCTACTAGGCTGATAGAAGCAGCATTGGTTTGGTTCGTCCGTTTGTCTATACCGTTGTAGTCTACTACCGTGACCTTGGATTGATCACACTGTAGCTGTGTCTCCTAGAGGTCCTCTGATTTCCTCAAAAAACCCCCCAAAACCAACAGCGGGAAGAGGGGGCAGGATTTGGTTGGCCTTCCCACGTGTGCAATATTGACTGATAATTCCCCAAGGTCTGTTCAGCTGTGACTCCCCGAGAGGTAACTTACTGTGCTGCGACCACTGCTTCCAAGTTCAAGACACAGTAGGCAACTGGTGATACAAGATGTTTTACATCTTGTGTTAAGAAAAGAACACAGTGGCTTTGTTATACTGACTAGTGGTGGATAAGAAATCCTGTATGTTGCAAAATGTCTAAGATACCAGAGAAAATTACTTCTGGCCAACCTTGCAAATTCCCTGAGAAGATAAAAACGTTAGGCCCTTTTCAGATAGCTTAGAGTGTCAATATGATTTGTGACAAGAGAACATAAATCAAGAAAAGATAGATAGTAGAGTTACTAACGAACACTCTTTAGGATAAGTTGTATCAAACGTAAAGTGTCCCGCTGCACAGAATCACTAGAAAAGGTTCGACTAGCAGACAAGTGAGGAAGACTATCAAAGACCACCAGAGGACCCCTGAAGACCACCAAACATCTCGAGTGCACCTTCACCAAGGGCATTTACATATATTAATGAGTTCCTGGAATTCAGATGAATATGTGTTGTGGTTTAACCCCAGCCAGCAACTAAGCACCACGCAGCTGCTCACTCATTCCTCCCCCCACCCAGTGGGATGGGGGAGAAAATCGGGAAAAGAAGCAAAACCCGTGGGTTGAGATAAGAACGGTTTAATAGAACAGAAAAGAAGAAACTAATAATGATAACACTAATAAAATGACAACAGGAATAATGAAAGGATTGGAGTGTATAAAATGATGTGCAGGGCAATTGCTCACCACCCGCCGACCGACACCCAGCTAGTCCCTGAGCAGTGATTCCCTGCCTGCACTTCTCCAGTTCCTATACTAGATGTGACGTCCCATGGTATGGAATACCCTGTTGGCCAGTTTGGGTCAGGTGCCCTGGCTGTGTCCTGTGCCAACTTCTTGTGCCCCTCCAGCTTTCTCGCTGGCTGGGCATGAGAAGCTGAAAACTCCTTGACTTTACTCTAAACACTACTTAGCAACAACTGAAAACATCAGTGTTATCAACATTCTTCGCATACTGAACTCAAAACATAGCACTGTACCAGCTACTAGGAAGACAATTAACTCTATCCCAGCTGAAACTAGGACAATATGTTAATTATTTACAGGAAAAATCATGAACATGTATATCCATTTTGTATATAGTCTCAACTGTTGAAAGAACTGGTATGCACGATAGGCAGAAGGATCCCCCATGCATCCAGTGCTGCAATAAAGAATGCCTGCTTTCTAAAACTCCAAAATTGAGTCTTAGAGAGCTGCTGAAATGCCGACTTACGGTAACACTGGGACTAGAAAAAGCATGAAATGATACGGCTTCATGCCCCTCAGCTATGAGGTCTGTCCCTGTCTCTGAAATCTGAGAGTGTAGGAAGCTGACAAAAGGTACTGGCCTTGATCAGACTTGGTACAAAGTCACTAAAATCAATTAAAAGTGACTATTGTCAACTCACTCACTTGATAGCTTCAATCATATTAAATGAGTAACTTTGACATCTCAAATTTCGGCTTTTAATGTTGGTCAGTCACATGTTCTTATTAAAGGCTGTATGGTTTTTTTTTTCACTCATGATTTAAGATTTAATTTAACCAAAGAAACAACTTGAACACTCTTCTACCAGGATAAATAAGCTACAACTTCCTAAAAATAGAGGTTTCTATAAAGATACATTACCAAATATTTCTGGTCTAGTTTTCAAAAGTTACAAAAAAGTATCAAGTGCTTGTTTCATTAATACTTTTAATTAAGAACTCTTGCAGTGAATGCAGACACAATTAGTGGAGTGGAATTAATTTTCTTTCGAGTTTTCCATGATGCATGCTCCAAATGGATAACGTGAACCTGAAAACCTTGCATCCATCCAGATAGCCTGAGAAGCATGTTTATACCTTCATAAATTTAAAATCAGGGTCTATTACAGGAGCACGGTTTTGGTGGATTTCAAGGAAGGTTTGGGTATTTACTTGCATGTTAGCAGTAGAGGGAGCCGTAGTTCCACCAAAGAGTATTTGTTGCTCATGCCATAAACCAGGAAACAAAAAAATTGTTGGGTTTTTTTTGCTGTGCAGTATGTTCTCACAGATGAAGCTTTAATCTATATCGTACATCTCTGTTGCTGTAAATTCATGCTCCATTATACCACCATATGCTTTGCTTCAGTCAGAGAAGGCTGCAGTAATCCTAATACTTCATCTAGCTTTATAGATATTTGTGTTGCGTGTTTGATTGCATATTGTTCGCTCACACACTTAAAGGTTATGTCTTAATAAGTTGTTTTAAATGAGTTTATTAGCAGTGAGCTGGCAGTAGATGAGTTTTTATGTTTTGAGAAGGTAACATTGTAGTTATTGTCAATTACATTATGAGATTCAGAAAGCAAAAAAGGAGAGTTTGGTTCATTAAAAAAATCTGGAGGCATGTAGCACAGTGCTTTAGGTTGTATTTCATTTTTGGCTAGTCAGCTGCCTAGTTTCTTCTTCATCTGCTTAGAGATATATATCATTACCGTTGCAAACTGGTCAGCTCTAAATGTGAAAACATGAAAGAAAAGATAAAGGTTTTTCAGTACTGGTTGAGTTGCTTTATAGTGTTCAGGACTTTTAATTGTGATGCTGAAATAGTGGATTCCTGAAAGTTTTATACATATTCAATATGTCCACAGAGTCCCGTGTGCCATTTATATTGATGAAGAATGGTAAACAGAAAAGAAATACTTTAAAAATACTCTTTCCCATTTCCTTTAAACTTCTTTTCTGATAACTGTGCATTTCAGAGTGCAACCTAGTATATATTATGTATCATATGTAACACAAGTACTATGTAATTGTTAACTACATTACATAACAAACATACTGTGTATAGAACAGAAAATGTTATATATTGCTAACTAATCTCTCTATACAATATAAATATATTTTTAATATACATGTATAGTGTATAATTTAAAAAAATGTATTTTAAGAGTCTTATTTTGGTATATCCTGTTTTGAGGTACTTCAACAGACATCATTTTCAAGTGCAAAGTGGGCTATTGAATGCCTCTAAGCTGAATGATGTTTGAAAACATAGGCTTTGTTGCTTGGCCAGTGAGGACTTAAAAGGCAAAAAATAGGATTCTGTCGTGGTAGTTAAGTTTCATATAGCATTGTGTGGCTACAATTTTGTCTTACCTGAGGCATCAGGTCAAATTTCACAGCTGTGAATATCAGCAAATTCAATAGGAGTTAAAATTTCTGTCATTGAAAGGCAAGTTTGATTTAAACACAACTGATAAGTTAAAAATTCTAGTATTTTTATAGCATCTTTTCAGATACCCAACCATCTCAAGCTGTTTATTAACATGCTGTACATTGTTCTAGAAATACTGTATCTTATATATTCTGATATACTAATAGTATTCATTCTATTCTTCCCATTATCAGTCACATCAAACCTTGCTAAATAACATGAGATTGGTTGTTATCTCATAAGCTTAGACTGGTGTAGCTATACTGAGCTCACCTAAATAATACTTAGTGTTTATCAGCTAGATTTTGTCTGTCTTGTGTTGTCATTAGCAAGTCAAGTAACTTTTGCTGAATGCTTGCAACATTTGGTACTAGCAGTTATATATACTGTTGGTGTAAAGGTGGTTGGGGTGAATAAGCAGGTAAAGATTACAGACAAGATACAGGGCAGAAAATGGAAGTACTAAGGATGAAGAAGAGGACAGTTGATGTGTGAACCAAGACCCTTCATAAAAGTAGTAACACGGGGTTTTTTGAGGTTGGGAAACTGGAAATATTCATACTTGAGCATATGTCCATTTTTGTTACATTCCATTGGTTAAGGGTGTATGTTTATGAGATTAATGTGTGATCTACTCCATTTGAAAATTCAGGTTCTGATCATGCATGTAATATTCAGGCTGATGTTTTAGGAAACAGGGCGGTTCCCTAAAGGAACATTTTGTTGTTCTGTTTGTTACTGTGATTCATCCTTTTTTATTACACCTATGTAATTTAGTGAAATTAATCTAAAAAGTATTTCCTAAAGTCTTCAAGCAGAATTATTTTTTTTAATGGATGGAAAATAGTTCGATCTGGCACTAAAATAATAACATTTTTTATATGACTGGAGAAAAATGGTACATTGAAGGGGAATACTCCATATTCTTTAAGAATGCATTTGTCAGCTGTGAAAGGTGCTCAGTATCAGTTGGGTTGCAAGTAATA